CATTCCTCTCGCGCGCCCACGCAGCTTCGCCTCGCCCGCACGCACGACACGAACGAAGCGAAACGATTTCCCTATTGGGGGTCTCCGCTCCACTGCGATCTCACCCCCCGACCTCCGATATATAGAGGGATAGAGAGGGAGAGATAGAGAGAGCGAGAGAGAGAGAGAGACAGAAAAAAAGAATGAACAAAGAACAAGTAGAAAGAGAGAGAGAGAGGAACAGAGAGAGGGAGAGGAACATATAATTCCCCAGCCAGTGCTTGCACTGCAGAGGTCCCAGCGGAGATTGCAGAATTTGGCGATGGTTCTGGGCCGATTTGGGTGGGCGGCCGGGTTCTTGGGTTCCCTGTTCTTGGTTCCCGGGTTTCCTGTTCCGGGTTCCAGGGCGATTTCGGTGCGCGGCGGGGTTCCCAGGTTCCCGGGTTCCTGGTCGATTCTTCAGGCTTCCGCCACATCCGCCGACCCCTTGGATTTTCCCCGGGATCGTTCACCACAGCTTCCTTGCAAACCGTGGGAAAATGAGGTTGTTCAGGGCCCGTCACAGCGAGAAGGGGAGCCGACATGGGTCGCAAACTGGCCCAGAGGGCTTCCAGACGGCCCAAGCGAACCCAAGACGGCACAGGGAGGTTTTTTGGGTTGTGTTTGGGGCCTTGCACGGGTGCCGGAGCCAGGGAAGTATGTTACACCCTGGAGACATCTTACGGTTGTCGGCGGTTTCCAAGCGGGATGTCCCGCTACCTGTTAATGTTCGGAGATGTTTGGGCTGACCTTGTCGATGGCAATGACGTCGTTGATGATCACGACACTGATGACGATGATCGGCTCCCTCTCCTCCTCTCCTCCTCCCCCTGCTCCTCCCTCCTGCTCCTCTTTCTGCCTCTCCTCCTCTTCCTTCTCCTGCCCTTCCTCCTCCTCCTCCTCGTCCACGTCCTTCTTCCCTTCCCTTCCCCGCCTTTTCTCCTCCTCCTTCTTGTCCTTCTCCTGCTGTTCCTCCTCCCGCCCTTCGTCCCCTCTCCTCCTCCTCCTCCTCCTCCTCCTCCTCCTCCTCCTCCTCCTCCTCCTCCTCCTCCTCCTCCTCCCCCGCCTTCTCCTCCTCCTTATCCCCCTTCCCTTCCCGGCCTTCTCCTCCTCTTCCTCCCCCTCCTTGTCCTCTTCCTCCTCCTCCTTCTCCTCCTCCTGCTCCTCCTCCCCCCCCCCTCCTTCTCCTGTCGCGGGGCCCTCGTGGAGGCTTCTTGGACCGTCTTGGCGCGGTCTTGGGAGGCTCTCGGGCCGCCCCGGAGCGCCCCAGAAGGCGCACGTACGAAAAATACACGTATTACGAAGAGAACGGGCGATTTTATACAGCGAGAGGCCCTCCAGGGGCGCATAGTGACAGCCTCGTGGGGCGTCTTGGGGGGCCTCTGCAGCCGTCGGGAGGCCGTCGTCAGCGTTTTGGATCGCTCTTGGACCGTCGAGGACCATGTGGAGCTCTCGTCGAGGCCGCTCGGACCGCTCCTGGAGCGCTCTCGGAACCGTTTTCGGAGCCCTTTTGGGCCGTCTTGGACGTGTGTTTGCGCGTCTTGGGGCCCTCGAGGGCTCTGTGGGAACCCTCTTGGGGGCGTCTTGGGCCGTCTGGGAGCGGGTTTGGGTTGCTCTGGGGCCGTCCAGGAGCGGGGGACACCCCAAAAGGCGCACGTGTGAAACAATATACGTTTGACAAAAGGAAACGAAGGATTTTTTGCGTCTAGAGGCCCTCTGTGGGCGCATCGTGGATGCCTCTTGGGGCGTCTTGGGGGCCTCTTCAGCCGTTTGGAGGCCGTCGTCAGCGTTTTTGATCGCCCTTGGACGGTCGAGGACCATGTGGAGCTCTCTTCGAGGCCACTCGGACCGCTCCTGGAGCGCTCTCGGAACCGTTTTCGGAGCCCTTCTGGGCCGTCTTGGACGTGTGTTGGCGCGTCTTGGGGCCCTCGAGGGCTATGTACGGACCCTCTTGGAGGCGTCTTGGACCGTCTGGGAGCGGGTTTGGGGGGCTCTGGGGCCGTGCAGGAGCGGGGGTCACCCTCAAAGGCGCACGCGTGAAACAACACACGTTTTACGAAGGAAACAAACGATTTGTTGCGTCTAGATGGCCTCTTGGGGGGAATCTTGGATGCCTGTGGGGGCGTCTGGGGAGGCCTCGTGAGCCGTCGGGAGGTCGTCGTCGATGTTTCTGATCGCTCTTGGACCGTTTGGGACCATGTGGAGCTTCGGGGAAGCAACTCGGAGCGCTCCTGGAACGCTTTTGGGGCCGTTTTCGGAGCCCTCTTGGGCCGTCTTGGACGCCTGTTGGCCCATCTTGGGCCCTCTAGGGGTCTGTGGGGGACCCTCTGCGAGGCTTCTGGGGCCGTCGGGGAGCATCGGAAAGATCCAAAGCTTAATTTTTCAAAATGTACATTTCACGCAGGGAATGGCCCAATTTGGGCGTCTAGGGATCCTTGTGGAAAGCATCTCGGAGGCCCTCGGGGGAGCTCGTGGGGACCTCTTCTGCCGTCGAGGACGCCTCGTGGCCCGTCTTCGGGCAAACTTGGACGTCTTGGAGCGCTCGTGGGGCGTCCCAAACCCATTTCGAGGCCACCAGACGCGTCCCTACACGAATTTCACGTGTTTTTCCACGTTTTTCGGGAGCGGATGAGACCTCCGGGGGGTTCCGGCCCGTCCGGCCGGACCCCCCCCCCTCCAAATGGACCGGACCGGGCTCCCGGGGGAGGGGTTTGGGGAGGGGGAACATCTCACACGCCGATGAACCCCAAGGGGTCGGCGGATTTTCTGATCGATCGGTTTCACCATCGATTTCTTTACCTATTTTTCTACTGATCTCACTGTCGATCTCACTATCGATCTCAGTGTCGATCTCACTATCGATCTCACCATCGATCTCACGAGCGATCTGACGATCGATCTCACTATCGATCTCACTGAATCGAATTCACTATCGGTCTTGTAGTCGACTTTACAATCGCCGTCATGTTTGATTACAAGATCGATCTCACAATCGATCTCATTCATCATCCAGATCACTCATTTTCTCTCCGGGGTAATTTTGTTGTCGGCTCTCGGTGTCTGCGGATAGCGTGGGCCCCCAGAGAGCCGTGGGTGTCGTGGTGCGCGTTTCCCTCGAGTGCGCGAACCCGTGCCGCGAGCACGCTGCACTCTGAGGGTAGGTGGCTTGGCATCGCTCGGTCGTGTGCATTTTTCCTTCAGCGAGGGCCATCGAGGAGCATCCTTGATCATTTGGCGAAGACCACGCACGAAACCAACAAAAACACAGGGAATGGACGTCCGAGCGATGGCGAGGTGGTCGCTGCTCATGTGGCTCTCGTCGGTCGGCTCTCGTGGCCCGTGCACGGACAGCGTTTCATGGCGAGGACCGCTCGGGGCGAGGAGCTGGCCTCACCTGGAAGCGGACCCTGGAGCATACCCGCGCCGCGGAGGGTCGCGGCGGGAGCTCCGCGGCATGTTTTTGTTTGCCGTCGGCTCGCGGGTCAAGTCGGGCACGTCCCTCCACCGGAGGAATGCTCAAAAGTACTCAAAGATAATATGGAGACGATGTTTTAAGCATGTTTGACAGTTTTCGGATTTACTTATTTTTTCTTATAATTTTTCATGTTTCCTCTAACGTCCGCCTGTAGGGGGACATACCCGACCTAACACTCGGGACCCGTGGAGTCGAAGAAGAAGAAACGCCATGACCATAACCTTTTGGCGCTCCGCGCGGATTTCTCGGATCCGCGCCGGGCCCCCCCCCCCCCAGCGGCGCCTCCGGCGCCGCCCCTGGCGCGCTCCGCGGCGCGCCAGGGAGGGGGGGCCCAGCGCCAATCCAAGAAATCCGCGCGGACCTCCAACTGTTTCTGTTTATGCCGCTCTTTGTGCCCCTAGGGGGCGAGGAGGTGGAGGAGGAGGGGGAGGAGGAGAAGGAGGAGGAGGAGGAGGAGGTGGAGGAGGAGGAGGTGGATGAGGAGGAGGAGATTTGCGCCCCTCGCGTCGCATCGAGACAGGTGCAGATCTAAGAAATCCGCGCGGACCGTCGAAAGTTTGCGGTTATGCCGTTGCTCCCTTCTTCTAAAGAGGACAATTCGGGGGCCGAGGAGCTTGGTGCTTCGGAAGGGGGCCCAGAACTCTGGAGAGGAAGAGGTACCCATACCGTCACTTGTCCCTCGTTTTCCCCGTTTTGGGCCTCCCGAGTGGCCCTCGCCGCCACCGCTGGATTCGCTTCGAAATTCTGGCCAGGGCGCACCCCAGGACAGGTGTTTATGCCGTTGCTTCCTTTGTCTGAAGAGGACAGCTGAGGGGCCGAGGAGCCTGGTGCCCTGGAAGGGGCCCAGACCCCTGGAGAGGAACAGGCACCCATGCCGCCACCCGCCTGTAGGACGACATGCCCGTCCCAAGCACCACGGCGCCAACATCGCAGAGAGGATTTCGCTCGGAAAACAATGGATAGGCCCAGAGTGTCCTGGACAATGTCGTTTTGGATTTCGAAGTGAATATCGTGCGGATTTGTTTTGGCCAGGAATGAGGACTAAAACAAAATCACGTGAGATTCACTTTGTTTTTCGCTCGCCGTTTCGGGGTTTCGCATTGTCAGAAGTCCGCATGACAAATCCGCTGCAGCACGTCTGCAAGGTCGGTGCAATAATACGCATATGCATAAGCTTAAGCCAGGCATGGCCCTCCACAGGAGGAATATCCAAGAAGTAAGACAAGTTTCCAGAGGAGGAAAGGGTACCCATACCTCTGCCCTTTCCTCGTTTTCCCATTTTTGGGCCTCCCGGGCGGCCCTCGTCGCCACCGCTGGATTCGCTTCAAAATTTCGGTCAGAGCGCACCCCAGGACAGGTCCCAGGAGTAGGGGTATCGACACCCCTCGGCCTGCCAGATGATTAACTCTAGGATCCACGCCGAGAACAGAATCACGATGCCGGCTCTTTGGGGCACCAGGTGGTGGGATAGGCTCATGAGCCTACCCCCCCCCGTCAACGGGCGGCCATGATTGAACTGACTAAGTCTGGCAAGTCGCAGCAAGTGTGTTAGTGACTCTGCAGACTTATAAGTTGTTTAACAGGATCTACCGAAATGGTGGAACGCCTTACTTGTGTTATAGCTATAGCTCGACCACATATAAGTTATGTTATGTGTGCGGCACGCCGAACCACGCATGGAACAGGGGGGGCAAACAGTCTCGGGTTCAACGTGTTCTCGCGTGTTCGTCGGTCTTGTTGTCCAGCAGCCGGGCCTCGGTGGAGAGCGCCCGGGGGGGGGCCTGGGCCCTTGGGCGTTTACTAAACAGCCTTGCCCTGCTTGACTCCTTCCTTGGGCGCGTTCGCTAGACGGCCTCGCGTGTCGGGGTGGTCACTATCGGGGTGGATCTTCTCCCCTCTATAGAAAATCTCAGGTTCAAGGTGCTCTCGCGTGGTCGTCGGTGGTCGTTCAGCAGCTGGGCCTCGGCTGAGAGCGCCCCAATGGCCGTCGGAGACCCGAGGGAGGAGGTAGGGAGGGAGGGAGGGAGGGAGGGAGGAGGGAGGGAGTTGGAGGGGAGGGGGGAGGAGGAGGAGGAGGAGGAGGAGGAGGAGGAGGAGGAGGAGGAGGAGGAGGAGCTGGAGGAGGAGGGGGGGCATGGGTCGTCCCAGATGGCCGTCGGAGACCCGAGGGATAGTCCGGAAGCCAGGGGCAGCTACAGGGCGGGATCGGCTCAGGGGGGACGCATGGGCCCCTAGCCTTGAGTCGGGTTTGTCCCTCTGCAGGGGGAGTATTTCAACATAGTCAAAACATAGTCTGGGAGTTATTTGTCTAGGGAAAAATAAAGTTAAACAAATGACCATTTCGGGGAGTTTACCAACACAGCCAAAACATAGTCTGGGATCGATTTGTCTTGAAAAGAAAAAGAAATTAAACAGATGACCACGTCGGGGTATTGTTTGACTATTTTCTATTCTTCGTCCTAGATCCCCCTATAGGGGGACATGCCCGACCTGACCCCAGTCGCACACTGATCGCGTGTGGGGGCCTGACAGCCACCCCGCCCGTAGAGGCCTGATGGCCACACCGACCTGGGCTGCGGCGGCTGACGGAGGGCAGGATGCGAAGAGCTATGTCCAGTCCGTATACTGCGGCTCGGCACGACACTGGGGCCACAGGGCGTGCCGAAACAGCCGCTGTTCGCGTTCAGTCGGAGGGGAACGCGCACGCGCCTGGCCATAGACACCTATGCCAAGTGATTAGCGTGGTCGGTGACGGGCGGAAGGACTTTGCACGTTCGGCGGGAATACGTTCAGGGGGGATGCATCGAGACCCAATCGCCCATTGATCGCCCGTAGGGGTCTGATGGCCTACCCCGCCCAGCACCATGCGGATTGCCGATCGATGGGCAATCCATCGCCGATTCAGGTCGATGATTCCCCCCTGGGTGGGTCCGACCCCATGGTTCCCCCTCATCTCATCCTCTTCTGGGAGGCGAGAGGGAGGATGATGGGGGGAGGGAGGTGGAGGAGAGGGGATCAGGAGAGGGAGGAGGAGGAGGAGGAGCAGGAGGAGGAGGAGGAGGAGAGAGGGAGGGAGGAGCATGCACTTAGAGGAGCGAGAGGCCTCTGTCAAGGCAGGGAGGGAGGCCCCACAGGTGCTGGCGGCCCCGGCCGCCGACCATGCCGGGCCCCTCAATTGGTGCCCGCTGACGGCCAGTTGCCCGCCGGTGGAGGCGGCCGCTTCCCTTCGGCGCCGCTGCCGCCGTCCTCGCCACCGCCGCCGCGTCGCCGTCGTCGTCGGCGTCGTCGTAGCGGGCGCCGCCGTCTTCATCGTCCTCGCCGCCGCCGCCGCCGTCTTCGCCGTGGTGGCGGCCGCCGTCGTCGCCGCAGCCTCGGAGGAGGGAGAGCTGCCGATGCCGCTGTCCGTCCCTCGCTGCCGCGGCTCAGTTTGCCGCCGGAACATTGGCCGCCAAAACATTGTTCCTGTGGGTAGCGGTGCCGATGGTCTTGTACCCCAGCAGCAGCGGCCGCTCGTCGGATGTCGCCGCCACCGCCGTCGCCGCTGTCACCGCCACCGCCGCCGCCTCCCTCGCTGCCGCCGCCGCCCTCATCGTCGTCACCGCCGCCGCCGTTGCCGCCCGCCGCCGTCCTCGGTCACCGCCGCCGCCCTTGCCGCCAGCCGCCGCCTTCGTCGGCGTCGCCATCGCCGCTGCAGCCGTTGCCGCCGCCGCCGCCGACGTCGACGTCGTCGTCGTTGTCGTCGTCGTCACCGCCTCTGCCGCCGATGCCGCCGCCGCCGCCCTCGCCGTGGTCTTCACCGCCGGCGCCGTCGTCGGGCTCGTCGCCCTCGCCGCCGTGGCACTGTCGGCGCCGCAGCGCAGCCGCCCGTCGGGCGCCGTCGTCGCCGAGTCGCGGCGGCCCGCCAGCCAAGCCGCGCAGAGGCGGGCTTCCCCGCGTCGCCGCCGGGCGGGCGGGGCGCGGGCGCCGCGAGCGCGGCGGAGCGCCTGCAGGCTGTGGTCGTCGTCGTGTTCGTCGTCGTGGGCTTCCGCCTTCGTCGTCTTCGTCGCCGCCTTCGTCGTGCTCCTCGTCCTCGTCCTCGGTATTGTTCGTCGCCGTCTTCGTTCGCCAGCATCCTCTTCGTCGTCTTTGTCATCGACGAGCTCGAAGTATCAAACAACTGCATAGACATGGACTTTCGGAGCTCCGCGCGGATTTCTCGGATCGGCGTTTGGCCCCGAGGAAGGCCCAGTGCAGATCCAAGAATCTAGCGTGGATTTCCGAACATGCATGTTTAGTTATGCAGTTCTTTCTTCTTTTAGGTTCGAGGACGGAGGGTTGATTTTTTTGCTTTCTCAGGTGTCTTCTTGAGGCTCCTGGGACGCACCGTCGCCACGGCTGGATTCCCCTGGAAGTCTTGGCCAGAACGCACCGCATCATAGGCGAAGGGGTCTTCGTCGTCGTCGGTTTTCTTTGTCGTCTTCGTCGTCTCCGCTCTTCGCCAGGAGGGAGGGGGGTAAAGAGAGGATGGTCAGACACTGAAAAGGTACCAATACCGTTTCTATGGGTTCGCCTGGGATTTTTTGGTAAGAACGCACCCCAGGAGAGATCGTGTAGTGGCAGTATGTGTGTCTTCGATGGGCGGGTCATTAAAGGAAGGATGAGGAAGATGAGGAGAAGGCGGGAGAGGAGGGAGGCCGAAGGGTGGGTTTCGAGGGTGAACGATTATCCAGTCTCGGGAGAAGGCCGTGTGGCGGTTGTGGTGCTTGTCAGGGTGAAGATCGCAAGGCGTTGGTATGCCCAAAACAGCATGTGGCATCGATCTGCCTCGTGTGATGTTGTGCTCGGAGGGTGCTGGGACATTTCTAACAACACGCCCGGACACGAACACCGACAAGTCTGATGGTGCGACGAGCAGCGGTTATTTGACAGGAAAGTTGATAGATAGGGAGAGGGGTAGGAGGAGCAGGAGGAAAAGGAGGAGGAAGAGAAAGAGGAGGGAGTGGGGGCAGGAAGACGGGAGAGAAACACATCATGAGCAGGGGAGGAGGGAAGGAGTGATAATGAGTACACGTATGAAGGGGATACACGGATCGGAACGATGAGTGTCACGAGGGGTGTGGAAGAGGATGTGGTTCACTTGTGCTGGCAAGAGGAGAATGAGGAGTTTGCAGAGGTCACAAGGGACGCGGATGATGAAGGTGGCGAACACGATGGCAACGACGAGGATGCCGACTTTGATGAGTAGGCTGTGTCGATGGTAATGGCGATGATGATGTTGATCCTGATGTTGATGCTGGTAGTGTTGCCGTTGCTGCTGTTGCTGGTGGCGGCGGTGGTGATGAGGATATTGATGCACATGCTGATGCTGATGATGATGCTCGATGATGATGATATTGTGGTTGCTGACGCTGGCGCTGATGATGTTGATGGTGATGCTGGTACTGATGCTGATGATGACGATGATGATGCTGCTGATGATAATGATGCTGATGAACATCACGATGTTGCTGTTGCTGACGATGATGATGATGATGATGATGATGATGATGATGATGATGATGCTGCCGATGATGATGCTGATGATGATGCTGATGATGATGATACTGACACTGCGAACGAGTATGCGGATGAGGAAGGTGATGATGATAATGATGATGAGTCGGATCATGTTGATCATGCGTTTGTTGGTGATGCTGATGATGGCGAGGATGATGATAAGGATGCTTATGATGATCAGCATGATGACGGTGATGATGATGATGATGATGATGATGATCATGATGATGATGCCGATGATGACCATGATGATGATGATGATGATGATGATGATGATGATGATGATGATGATGATGAATAATATGATGATGCTGATGGTGATGGTGATGATGATGTTGATGATGCTGATGATTCTGCTGATGCGTATGATTATATTGATTAGTATACTGATGATGATGCTGACGATGTTGATGATGTAGATGTTGCTGATCAGGATGATAATGATGATTATGATGATTATGATGCTGATGAGTATGACTGTTCTGCCGAGAGTCGAGGACGAGGATTACGAAATATGCAGAGGAGGGGATCAGGAGTACGATGAGGAGGGATGATACGAAATGTGATGGAGGACAGGGCACGACGACCGAACTACAGGCAAGCATGCTGGCGGCGGAAGCCGCCCTCGCGGCGATCGAGGCTCGCAGCGCTTACGTCGTTGCTGTCTTATTCGTGCCCGTCCTCGTCTGAGGATGCAGAATGGAGGGATGAAGGGGACGAGGGGGGGTCGAAAACCAAAGATGCCGACGAGGAGCAGCGCGACGGTAGCGGGGGGGTGATGTGGGGGGCGGGGGAGGCGCAAGGATGAAGGACGAGGGGGATGTGGAAGAGGAGGGGGAGGAGGAGGAGGAGAAGGAGGAGGAGGAGGAGGAGGAGGAGGAGGAGGACACATTATTCCAAGAAGAAGAACGGCAAGGGGGAGAGGTGGACGGGGACGCAGGAAAGTAGGGAGGAGGCAGAAGGATGAGCAGGAGGCAGAGGAAGGGCCAGGAGGACAAGGAGAAGGTGGATGAGGCGGGGAGGCTCTGCTCTGCTGGACACCTGGTACGATGCCACGCGCGTGGCCGCTCCCACCGTCAGTCACGCTCCTCGCTCGCTCTGGCATTGCCTCCGCCCCCCTCCGGCTCCGACCTCCGACCAGGGCTCGTTCCGGTCCCTCCGATTCCTTTCGATTCGAACTCGATGGCTTCCGATTCCGATTCGATTCGATTGGGGATTGGATTCCGATTTGAGTTCCGATTCCTCATTGGAGGCATACCAGCCTGCCGATGTCTACCGATTCGACTTTCCCCGACTCGGCTGCCGACTTCCGCCGATCCCATCCATCTCGATTGCCGATCCGGCTTATCGGTGCTATCCTGGGCTCTCCTGTCCCTCCGGCTCCGACCTCAGACGGGAGGCCACACTCGCGAGGCACGCCGCTCCCTGCACTCCAGCAGCGACGGCACCGAAGACGGCAGCGGCCTCTCCCGACCCCCCGCGGCGTCCTCCGGGAGGTTCGTGTTGTCCGCGGTCTCTCTCGGGGAGCGGGCGGGCAGACGACGATACCCATGCACCTCAAAATCGGAGCCCCCCCCACCCACCGGCCTCGCGACGACACTCGCACTCTGGTACACTCCCCAGGGGTTGGCGGGAGGCCTCCCTCAACGAGATCCGGAGCCGCCGCCGCTCGCACGGCCGCAGGCGGACCCCGATACGACGGGAACAGCCTTTTCCGGATGCGAGACAGATTCTCCCTCCTCCTTTTTGGAGGGGGAGAGGGGGGTCACATTCTCTGGACAGCCACCCCCCGTCGGTCGTGGCGGTGGAGCCGCAGCGCATGCAGACGAGCGACCAGGCCGTAGTCGTTGCGTCGTTCTTGCGAGGCGGTGGTTCGAATGCACCCGAGTCGAGCCCACCCACGCGGCTCCCGAGACCGCCTGGAAACCCTTACCACCTTCCGAGGGAACCAGCAGCGTCTCAGCTGAGCTCCGCGGCGGCGACGGACGCGGATCACGACACCGGGTCCAGGCGACAGCGAGCAGTTAGCTCCTCGGGACATTCATCTTAACATTGCGGACACCTTCAACGACCAGCAGACGTCGCGGACCTATGCGAGCTTCGATGGCTTCTGAACACGGCTCGAGGGCGGCACCCGAGCTCCGTCCCAGGGTTCAACCTCAAGCGCCATCAGGAGAGTTCTACGGGCACGCCTGCGCACCAGTGCCGCCGTTATGTCCCACCAGTCCTGATAAAGCCCGCAACCGGATGAGACGCGCTAGTCTGAGCCCCTTTGGGCCCGAAGCCGCCGAAACCGATAGTGATGTTGCTGCTGATGATGATGATGATGATGATGATGATGATGATGATGATGATGATGATGATGATGATGATGATGATGATGCTGATAATGATGACCACGATGATGACAACGATGATGACAGCGATGATGATGATGATGCTTATGATGATGCTGATGCTGTTGCGGTGTTGCTGATGATGGTGATGGGGGTGGTGACATGCGAAGAGCACAGGCAAGGGGGCGATGAGAGGGGAAGGGGGGAAGGAGAGCAGAGGCTCGGGGGCGCTGTCTCTGCAGCACGATAACCAACACCACGGGATGGCTGGGAGCAGTCACGCAGCACACACCAGCAACAACAACCGTGCATCACGCACCAGCAACATCAACCAGACAGCACACACAGCAAGCATTGCTGGTGCGTGCTGTGCTTTGGTACACCTGGTGCTGCTGATGCTAGTCACTACGATGGCGACAATGATACTGACGGCGACGATGGCGACGACGATGCAGACGACGATGACGATGACGATGACGATGGCGACGACGGTCCTGATGAGGATGCTCACGACGACGACGACGACGACGACGACGACTGGGGGCTCAGTTGTACCAAACAATGTCGTCGTTATGTGTGTGTGTGTGCGCGTGCTGGGCCATGGCTCAAGGTACGTATGCGCTTGCTTTACCAATGACAAAGGGATTACATGGGCACCATCGTTCTGCAACAGAGGCTATAGCAGCTTTACAAACCCAGGACTACCATCACATGTGTTAGTATTTGTGTGTCGCGCGAGCTTTGTACCGCATGCTGGAAGTTCGTTGTATGTTGTACGTTTTCGGTGTTGTGTGTATGTTGCTTGCGTATGTGTGTGCTTGTTTGGTTTGATATTGGTGTGTGGTTTGTGCTTGCCGGCAGCAAGAATAGCCAGAGGTGCCACGCCTATATAGAAACTAACCAGTGTGTTTGTTATTGTTTGCGGTCTTTGCTTTAAAGGTGAGTTTCTAGTTGGGATGGCATATTTGTGTTTTAGCGTTGCCCAACAAATTCTTCACCTATGCCATTTTTAAGCGTTTGGCGAAGATTTTTTCTTTTCAAGAATCGACCGCCCACCAGCCGCCACAGACCAGTTACCGACCACCCATCGACCACCTACCGACCACCACCGACCACTCACCCACCACTCCCCGACGACTCACCGACCAATCATATCCAAAACAGCTGCGAACATTGTAAAAAATATGCACGAACATTACATCCGCACCAAGCCAAGTATATCATACGATACAACACGTGTCCTTAACGAGGAGAAGCAACAGCAACTAGAAATTATCACCCTTCCAGTCAAAAACAGTACAAACTCAACCAACACAGGAATAACCGCACCACACAATAAGAAACATAAGCAAACATGTACCAAACATCCAAACACACCAAAAGGCAATTAGTCCGACGGAAGAACCCCACATAAGAATCCTCTGGGCGAATCTGGAAAAAGCCATCGCCGTCGTCCTCGTGGTTGGTGAGGCGTCCTGGCTGTCTCTTCTGCGTATATTTCCTCTCGCCTTGGCGCGGGCCCCCCTTCCACTCCTTACGTTGTCCCCATCCTCGCCCCCCTGTTTGTTCCGCGCCCCGCCACCTCCTCCCCTTCCTGTTGCATGAGCGCGCATGTCGATGTTCCTCGGCGCCGTCGCCGCCACGGCCAGCACAGGCGCGTTCTCTACTGGTCACGTCGCGCAGCCGTTGGGACAACCCCGCGGGCCAGGCTGTCGGGACAACCCCGCGAGCCGTTGGCGCGCAAGACCAAGCCGTTGGGACAACCCCGCGGGCTTCGAGCGAGGCGCAGCCGCGCTCAGGCGGAAGGCAGCACGAAGCCCAGCTCTGCCGCGAGCTGCTTCGCCTCCGCCCTGGACAAAACCGCTCTCTTGTCGAACTCCAGGAGCGCCTTCCGCAGGGACGCCGGCGGCCCGCACTCCAGGAACTCTCGCGGCGGCGGCCGCAGGATCAGCATGTTCCGCATGCACGTGGCGCGGGAGAACATGACGTAGAGGTGCAGCCACCACTGCTCGTCCGACATGCCCGTGCGGCCAGCGTCCTCGTCTCTCGCGCAGTCGATGGTGACGCCCTTGCGCAGCGTCTGGCCCTGCGACAGCGTGGAGGTCAGGTAGGACGCGTGCGTCAGGGTGAACCCCGAGCGGCGCACGCTGTGCGCTGCCGAGCTCTGCCATGTGAACTCCCTTCCGCTGGGCCTGAACATCAGCAAGCTCCGCGCCCCCGCCTCGGCCTGGCCGTCGTCGTCGGCGCCTCCGGCGCCCTGTCGCAGCACCTCCCAGTGGAAGCGCATGGGAGTGCGTCCCAGTGGATACGTGCGGGCCCCATAGGGAGGGGGTTCCCGCCTGAGACTTCCTCGCAGTTCACTCACAGACGAGGCTCCCGCCTGAGACTTCCTCCATATTCAGGCTTGAGGAGCCCAACATTGACGACAGTTACAGGATTCCGATGACCCGCTCGGATTACTGCAGGGGCAAAAAACATTACATTACCGGAAAAATCGTTTCGATAATTATTTTTGCGCCCTGTAATGACGTCAGCGGGGTTGGGGGGGGATTTCACGATTAGGATTCTACAGAAATTATGAGCAGGAGTTGGGGAGGATTTGGTAATTGGGGAGGATTCTACAAAGGAAAAAAAGGGAGTTGGGGAGGATTTGGGAATTGGGGAGGATTCTACAAAGGAAAAAGGAAGAGTTGGGGAGGATTTGGGAATTGGTGAGGATTCTACAAAAGGATAAAGGAGGAGTTGGGGAGGACTTCGGAATTGGGGAGGATGCTACAGAGGAAAAAGGAGGGAGTTGGGGAGGATTTGGGACTTGGGGGGGATTCTTCACAGGAAAAAGGAGGAGTTGGGGAGGATTTGGGAATTGGGGAGGATTCTACAAAAGGAAAAAGGAGGAGTTGGGGAGGATTTGGGAATTGGGGAGGACTCAACAAAAGAAAAGGAGGAGTTGGGGAGGATTTGGGATTTGGGGAGGCTTCTACAAAGGAAAAAGGAGGAGTTGGGGAGGATTTTGGAATTGGGGAGGATTCCACAAAAGGAGAAAGGGGAATTTGGGAGGATTTGGGGATTGGGGAGGGTTCTACAAAGGAAAAAGGAGGAGTTGGGAAAGATTTGGGAATTGGGGGGGATTCTACAGAGGAAAAAGGAGGAGTTGGGGAGGATTTGGGAATGGATTGGGGAGGATTCTACAAAGGAAAAAGGAGGAGTTGGGGAGGATTTGGGAATTGGGGAGGATTCTACAAAGGAAAAAAGAGGAGTTGGGGAGGATTTGGGAATTTAGAAGGATTCTACAAAGGAGAATGG